CTGTCAGGTGATGTACTGCTGCTCAAGAGTCGGTAGATTTTTCTTCGCGATAGTTTGGTGCTATTCACATCACTCAGTCCGTCGGTATCTGAAATGAGAATAAGTCCTGGTTACTACGGTTATTTGGTTACTATGGTTACTACGGTTATTTGATTACTACGGTTTCTTGGTTACTATGGTTACTGCCTACTGGTAGTCATTTAGATAGAGTTTACCTGGGGACCCCAGGCTATTATGTTCGTAAACCGAGTGGAGATTCGGCGGAATGACAGGCTGAGCGCCGCCCAGTAAGATATCAGCCGCAAGAGTATAAATTCCTTGCAATACAAGCAAATATTTTCCCTACTCTTGACAATTAACAAACCACACGTGATCTCTAGTTCATTATTATACAAAATGTGTATTGTAAGATATTACCAACACGCTGAACTTACGCGCGCGCTAAAGTTTAACGATTTCATAGTTTATTTGTAATTTTATCAATATTTTCTGATGGAAGGCGCAAGCCTTGTCATGATTCCTCAAAATACAGTAATATAGTATCGTTTCCACTTTCCAGAGACAAATTGCCTGGAAGCTGTTTAAATATGTTGGCTATGTGTTCCGATAAACTAGCGGGAAAGTTGGATTTCTCAAAACTACTTCAGAGAAACAAATAGTGGAAAAGTACAAAGTATTTCGGAACAATTAAGAGGAGTCACCTTATGAGATACAAGCTAGAGTGAGTTACCGTGCTTCTGAGAGGGTCGTGGGTAACCAGGTAACCAGGTAACCAGGTAACTAGGTAACTAGGTAACTATGAGATACAAGCTAGAGTGAGTTACCGTGCTTCTGAGAGGGTCGTGGCCCCCGAAAACTCCCTGGTGTCCCTATGTAGTAGTAGTAGTAGTAGTAGTAGTAGTAGTAGTAGAAACTCCCTGGTGTCCCTATGTAGTAGTAGTAGTAGTAGTAGTAGTAGTAGTAGTAGAAACTCTCTGGTGTCCCTATGTAGTAGTAGTAGTAGTAGAAACTCTCTGGTGTCCCTATGTAGTAGTAGTAGTAATAGAAACCCTCTGGTGTCCCTATGTAGTAGTAGTAGTAGTAGAAACTCTCTGGTGTCCATATGTAGTAGTAGTAGTAGTAGAAACTCTCTGGTGTCCCTATGGCTGCCATACCTATGAAGCCCAAAAAAAATTACCCATAGCTAAGCTTCCGAATGCTCTTTTTGTAGCTATTGGTCTCTCGACTTCATAAAACGGGACCCTCGACCCTGTTTTTCAACTGTAACTACTGCTTGGCAACCTGTAACCACTGCTTGGCAACCTGTAACCACTGCTTGGCAACCTGTAACCACTGCTTGGCAGCCTGTAACCACTGCTTGGCAACCTGTAACTACTGCTTGGCAACCTGTAACCACTGCTTGGCAACCTGTAACCACTGCTTGGCAACCTGTAACCACTGCTTGGCAACCTGTAACCACTGCTTGGCAACCTGTAACTACTGCTTGGCAACCGGTTGGGACTCTAATATGTACTGGTCTGATAAGTGACTTGTTCTGTGGAAATACAATACAAGGTACCTCTAACCTTCAGTTGCGTTGTTTTTCTTTTGGGCCATGTTACGAAAATATAATATAAATGTACATGACCTGTATTATATTACTGAATCTGATTACTTGATACATCATCTAATACACATTAAAAACTGCAGAGTCGAATTACACATGATAGAGTCTCGGTGTTTACGACACATTATTTTTATTTGTGGGTAAAAATCACAATGGCCATATTAATAACATAAGTGGATACATTTTTGAGGTAACTTGGGTTAGTAATCGAGGAGTCGTATTTCGTCTCTTGTAAGGGAACGTATCTGTTACTAGGTTACAACCACACCGGCAAATTATGACTACAGTAATATTTATTGTCATGATAACAGTACAGTATTCTTTTAGTACCAGTGTGTAGTGTGTAGTGTGTAGTGTGTAGTGTGTAGTGTGTAGTGTGTAGTGTGTAGTGTGTAGTGTGTAGTGTGTAGTGTGTAGTGTGTAGTGTGTAGTGTGTAGTGTGTAGTGTGTAGTGTGTAGTGTGTAGTGTGTAGTGTGTAGTGTGTAGTGTGTAGTGTGTAGTGTGTAGTGTGTAGTGTGTAGTGTGTAGTGTGTAGTGTGTAGTGTGTAGTGTGTAGTGTGTAGTGTGTAGTGTGTAGTGTGTAGTGTGTAGTGTGTAGTGTGTAGTGTGTAGTGTGTAGTGTGTAGTGTGTAGTGTGTAGTGTGTAGTGTGTAGTGTGTAGTATACCTACGTGGATTGAAGAGAATTATCTGCTGCATCAAAGCAAATTCCAAATCGCTCAGACGTAACTCGTTCAATGTGCTCACGATGTTCTTCACTACGCTGTAATTAGTAAATTGTAACCAGGCAACTGTAACCAGGCAACTGTAACCAAGCAACTGTAACCAGGCAACTGTAACCAGGCAACTGTAACCAGGAAACTGTAACCTAGCAACTGTAACCTAGCAACTGTAACCAGGCAACTGTAACCAGGCAACCGTAACCAGGCAACTGTAACCAGGCAACTGTAACCAGGCAACTGTAACCAGGCAACTGTAACCAGGCAACTGTAACCAGGCAACTGTAACCAGGCAACTGTAACCAGGCAACTGTAACCAGGCAACTGTAACCAGGCAACTGTAACCAGGCAACTGTAACCTAGCAACTGTAACCAGGCAACTGTAACCAGGCAACTGTAACCAGGCAACTGTAACCAGGCAACTGTAACCAGGCAACTGTAACCAGGCAACTGTAACCAGGCAACTGTAACCAGGCAACTGTAACCAGGCAACTGTAACCAGGCAACTGTAACCAGGCAACTGTAACCAGGCAACTGTAACCAGGCAACTGTAACCAGGCAACTGTAACCAGGTATTTACCTGGTAGCAAGGGACTTTGTAAAGTGTTCTCTGATCAGTCCCACGTCGATTATCTTGCCAGTTCCAAGCCGCAGCTGCTGTGTTAAGTCAACACTTCTGTACGCTAGTTTTACAGTCAACAGCTCGTTCACCACACTTTTTAGCAAAACCTACAGTGAATTATATAACAGGTAGAGTACAAACAATAAATACTTTTAGAAAAATAATAGTTCTGGGGAGGGAGAGGGGGTCACATTTTTAGCTCCACATTTCCGATTTTTGCAGACCCCAACTATACATGATACAATAGAGTGTGTTTAAATAGATTGTCAAGATTTTAAAAATATTTGCCGTTTTCTGACAAATGTGCTTGTAGACCATTTTTGAAATTTTGGATTATTTTATCCGTTTTTATTTTTTGGGTCAAGAACTCTGACCGAAAACCATCAGAAACCAATAGAACCAATGGCCGGCGATTGGTTCTAATGGTATCTGATGGTTTTCATGACATTGAGGGAGTTTAATCGGGACTGATATACCTTTTGATCCCCCTCAGCAAGAGCGCAGAAGTCAGGGAGTTTTACTGCCCACTGGTAGATTAGCAGTAACTGGTTCTGTCCACTCTTCATTACCCACTTTATCATCTCATCGTTACTGGGACTTTCCTGATAAGCATCACTAGGTTACTAATAACTAGGTTACTAGTAACTACTAGGTTACTAGTAACTACTCCTGATAAGCATCACTAGGTTACTAGTAACTACTTCGATAGTAATTGTTATGTATATTATATATTGTTATAATTGTATCTAACTGCAACAAGGCAACTGTAAACAGGCAACTGTAACCAGGCAACTGTAACCAGGCAACTGTAACCAGGCAACTGTAACCAAGCAACTGTAACCAGGCAACTGTAACCGGGCAACTGTAACCAGGCAACTGTAACCAGGCAACTGTAACCAGGCAACTGTAACCAGGCAACTGTAACCAGGCAACTCTAACCAGGCAACTCTAACCAGGCAACTGTAACCAGGCAACTGTAACCAGGCAACTTTAACCAGGCAACTGTAACCAGGCAACTGTAACCAGGCAACTGTAACCAGGCAACTGTAACCAGGCAACTGTAACCAGGCAACTGTAACCAGGCAACTGTAACCTGGCAACTGTAACCTGGCAACTGTAACCAGGCAACTGTAACCTAGCAACTGTAACTAGGCAACTGTAACCAGGCAACTGTAACCAGGCAACTGTAACCGGGCAACTGTAACCAGGCAACTGTATATATTGATTGGTGCACAAAACTGCAGATTAGTATTTGATAGTAAAGAAGATAGTACAGAGGATCATCCAACTTAGAGGACCCAAAGTAAGTAAAGTTACTAATCTATCAACTTAGAGGACCCAAAGTAAGTAAAGTTACTAATCTATCAACTTAGAGGACCCAAAGTAAGTAAAGGTACTAATCTATCAACTTAGAGGACCCAAAGTAAGTTAAGTTACTAATCTATCAACTTAGAGGACCTAAAGTAAGTAAAGGTACTAATCTATCAACTTAGAGGACCCAAAGTAAGTAAAGTTACTAATCTATCAACTTAGAGGACCCAAAGTAAGTAAAGTTACTAATCTATCAACTTAGAGGACCCAAAGTAAGTAAAGGTACTAATCTATCAACTTAGAGGACCCAAAGTAAGGAAAGTTACTAATCTATCAACTTAGAGGACCCAAAGTAAGTAAAGTTACTAATCTATCAACTTAGAGGACCCAAAATAAGTAAAGGTACTAATCTATAAACTTACTGCAGCGCGGGCTAAATCCTGATAGGTACTATCTCTCACAGGTGTCACTTTGATCGGTGCTGAAAGATATTTGGGACTAAAGACATATTGACTCAGTTAAACAATTGCTAGGATAAAACTGGCCAATTTTAGAATATAAATGTTCAATGTTATGTCATATTAATGCTTTCATACAACAAATATAATTTAATTCGTTTAAATCGTGCTCGTGAATCTAATCAGTTAACATCAACATTAATTAGAATCAAAAGAATGTTGAATTCATATCAGACAGAACCATCAAGTTAAGTATGGTATGTATAAATGGTATATTAATAAATAGTTGTTGCTTGGTTTCCCAAAGAGAGTGCTCGACTGCTGTTAAGCAGGAGCATTATAATTCGAACAATTGAAACAAATCAAATTGGCGAGCAAACTATCCGTATTCCGTTTCATGATATGTATAAAACAATACCAATCATCAGTGCCCATTGGTATTGTTTTATACATATTATGAAACGGGTCGTTTGCCCGCCAATTTGATTTGTTTCGATTGTTCGAATTATATATAATATATACTAGTGTAACCCGTGCCTACGGCCGGGACTTCACTATCGCAGTTGAAATGCAAAAGTATACACCCGCCTATTATATTTTAAAACGCGCATAATATTGTCGTATGAAAGTATGAACTCTCTCTACAGTCCAAACAGACCGCAATCAGTGCCCTCCATCCCTAATAAGCTTATAGTACAGGGTGGCCCAAAAGTGACTTCCCACACGCACCCTCTTAATAACAAACGTAATTCGTCTTCAAATTGCACCAAAATTTCAGAGATTATAGATATGGGTCAAACTTAGATTTCCTGAAAGTTTTGTAAGCCACGCCCAATTACAGTGGGCGTGGCGTGACACTCTCTCTTTTTCACTATTTTCTTCATAAAATGAGAACGCTTTGAGCTAAGAACTCCAAATTTTTTGCACACATTTGGCTTGATAATTTAAAACCTTTCCCAAAGTTTCAAGTTCATTGTTCAAAATTTGGTTGAGTTATGACCATTTCAAAATTCATCGGATACGTGATCCGAGCACTCAGTCAGTGATCTCTGCACTCAATCAGTGATCTCGTTACCCAATCTGATCAAGAGTAAGGCGTTAGCGTGTATTGATGAGGTTCATTAGGCTTTACCAAACATACTGAGGAGATGACGATCTGATCATGATTGATTGTATTACTTGCGGCTAACCTAATTATGATTCATGTACCAACGCTACATAATATGCAGTAATGGAAGAGAGAGCGAAGAGCGAAAAAAGTTAGCAATTTTATGTCACATTTGTGGTACAAAAACCATCAATTGAACCACTTACCACCGGCCGATTTAAATAAAAATTTTCTTATTGGCTTCGTTATAGTTTTGTCGGCACTATACCTAACAAACCAGTCCCGTAACTCTTACCGTTTTTTTAATTAAGTCGCTTGGAAATTTCCCGCACACACACATACGTCATACATACATACACACACAGATTTATTGAGATTATTAGTAAAGATATATCTTTTTAAAACAAAAGATATCCTACTCAACAGACAATACTAAAATTTGGACGAGAAGTTATTGGAAATTTTGAAAATGTTTTATATCCTGTCACTTGACCATAATTTAAATCGATAAAAAGTATTTTATAAAGGAGCAACATATCATATCTTTGAAATTCATTATTCTTATTTGGCACTGAGGATTTAATGGTATTGTTTTCTACTTATCATGAAACGGATCCTTTGCCCGCAAATTTGAGTGTTTCTTTGTTTGAAATATATTATATATATTATTATATAAATTATTATTATTATATAACTTTATTCAAATCAAAAATAGAACATAAATGAACATCTTAAAGATCTGATAAGTAGCCAGAAAAAAAGAAATACTGATACACAAGCTATAACAACTTCTTCCATCCCGCTCTATCAGAGGCTAAAAGTCTTAAATTGTACAAATCGTCTGTATTTACAAATGGAATGTTCCTACTACCTAAATCAAATTTAATAGTCTTAAGCAAGTTCGACTGGTGTCTGCCTACTCTACCCTTTTTGGTACTCTGACTCTCTACTGCAAAGTGTAATGCAAGCTGTGCAGGTGAGTTGTTATCACTGCGAAGGACATGTCCGAGCATCCTCCATCGTGCACATGCAACACGCTCACTGAGTGGAACCACTTCACATCTCTTGTAAAGGGTGTCGTTTTTTATTATATTAGGGTAAGTCATTCTGATGATTTGCATCAGATGCTTTCTGTGGCAAATATCCAGTTTACTCAGTAGCTGCTTTGAAGCAGCCCAGCAGCTACAATTATACATTAAGACGGAGACCACCTGGGCTTCGTAGATCTTAAGTCTGGTCTTAAGAGGTATGCGTTTACCTTGTTCCCAAACTTTCTTGTAGGTTTGGAAAGCAAGATTTGCCAGAATACATCGTCTTTTTATGTCCTCGTTGCTGCACAATTTGGAACCAAGTGAGATAGATGATCTCCAGGGCTCTCTTCTTCGAAGTGGCTCTCCTTTGTCATCAACTTCGTTCTTCTCGGCCAGATAGATATGTGTGAACTCTGTTTTTGATTCGTTGACAAAAAGATTCCACTCCTCCAATATCTCCTTGCATATTGGTAACATGGACTCCAAATTCTTTTTATGCTCGTCTGTGAAGTCTGCGTCGTCTGCGTACTCCCACTCGAGAGGTAGCAGGTTTTCAGCAAACGGAGGGTTGGGTCTTAGATAAGACATAAATATATATATATAGTGAAACAAATTTTAGTGAAACAAATTTAAAATATCTATTATCTATACTAATAATATATATTATATTATATGTATTTTATATATATACTATACACTATACTATATGCACTATACACTATACTATGCACTATGCACTTTACACTTTACACTATACACTTTACACTATATACTATACACTTTACACTATACACTATACAATATGCACTATGCACTATGTACTATGCACTATGCACTATGCACTATGCACTATGCACTATGCACTATGCACTATATAGGGGCTCATAAGTTGGTGTACAAACGATTAGGCATATACATATGACATTATTGTCTGACACGTGTAACTTTGCAGATATTGTAACTATTTCACTATTTTGGAGGCGAGAAACCTAATTTTTATATAATGCAATAGGTAACCAGGCAACTGTAACCAGGCAACTGTAACCAGGCAACTAATAGGTTATTAGATGTAGCATACTGTAATCAGGCAACTGTAACCAGGCAACTGCAATAGGTTATTAGATGTAGCCTGGTAACCAGGTAACCAGGCAACTGTAACCAGGCAACTGTAACCTGGCAACTAATAGGTTATTAGATGTAGCATATCACCGATCATTTAATAGTATCAGTGTGACATGACACCCTAAATAGGCTCCCTGCACGATTCCCATAGTGCGATCTAATGGCAACCCAATCACCTGACTATCATGTGAAATACATCAAGTTGGTTTCACGTTCCAGTGTAGAGTGATTTAGCGGGGGGGGGGGGGGGATCATGTTATTTAGCACCAAACCCATTATGCTTTATGTCTGAGTCATCTGATTTAGCACCAAACCCATTATGCTTTATGTCTGAGTCATCTGATTTAGCACCAAACCCATTATGCTTTATGTCTGAGTCATCTGATTTAGCACCAAACCCATTATGCTTTATGTCTGAGTCATCTGATTTAGCACCAAACCCATTATGCTTTATGTCTGAGTCATCTGATTTTACAAATTACACAAACTCAATTAACTCAATCGGGCATTCAGTGACTGAGAAATAAGCCCAAACGTTTGCAAACTGACTTAAGGTCCCCCTGAAGTGTAACTATACTAAAATATCATACTACCATAACGATCCAACCTATCATTGTGATAAACTAAATGATATACTCAATTAGGTCCTGATTACCTTAATTCCCAAAAATTTGGGCGACCAAAAATTTGGGCGACCAAAAATTTGAGCGGGCCTCTCGCCCAAATTTTTTGCAGACCAAATTAATTGCATAAATCTTTTCCGTCTGCTAAATTTTTTGCTAACCAAACTTTTGGCATTTGGCCTGTGGCCCTGAAATCTATAGAAAGATGGCTTTTTCTTCATATCCAAGTGAAATAATATTTGAAATTTTAGTTTTCTAATCTATAAAAAGGCTTATATTTTAAATGAATAGAAATAACTGGAATTAGACTTCAAGACCTTTGGTCCGGGTTTACAGTAGTTCGCTACACACAATTATGTACACCTTTGTTTCCCCCAAAGCTAAGCGTATGTGCCGCTTAGTTTGATAGATCATGATGTAAACCTTCTAATTTTCTTCCAAACCTTTCGACCATCTGTTGAGGCGTCATAATGATAATTGTATGTGAAAGGGGTATGATAAGATATGCTGAGTGTAAGTAGACTAAACTATCTGATTGAGAGACTAAATATCACTATTGTATATCTATCATTTTGTACTGTGCCTGGTGTGCCATCATCACTGTATTTTTTAGTAGTTACTGGGCAGATCGTAAATTTCATAATGTGAAACAACTCAGACTACTACCTACATGCTTAATATTGAAAGCAAAATGACTGGAATAATAAGGAATAATAATGAACTAAGGCAAATATCTAACTGACATTTTAGTGGAAAATCGTTCATTTTTCGAAGAATTTGTGCCCAAATTTTCGGTCGCCCAAATGAGTTCAAATTTTCTGCCCAAATTTTTCGGGCTCAAATAAATTGTGCTCAATATAATGGCACACAAATTTTTGGGAACTAAGGTAATTCACAATAAATTACTATTTTTTGTTATAAATTGCATCAAATTTATCAATTTTAATTCTTATTTGCACACTCTGCTTAAATCAAGATAAAAACAACAGCGTGAGCGATCATTTGCTCCATATGAAACTCACAATCAAATCCTAATAGGTGCTCTGACAGAGGCCACATCGTCTGAAATTTCTTAAATTATAGATGTAGAGGGAGAATGAGAGAAAGAAAAAGAAAGAGAAGGAGAGAGAGGAAAAAGGGAGGGAGAGGGAGAGGGAGAGGGAGAGGGAGAGGGAGAGGGAGAGGGAGAGGGAGAGGGAGAGGGAGAGGGAGAGGGAGAGGGAGAGGGAGAGGGAGAGGGAGAGGGAGAGGGAGAGGGAGAGGGAGAGGGAGAGGGAGAGGGAGAGGGAGAGGGAGAGGGAGAGGGAGAGGGAGAGGGAGAGGGAGAGGGAGAGGGAGAGGGAGAGGGAGAGGGAGAGGGAGAGGGAGAGGGAGAGGGAGAGGGAGAGGGAGAGGGAGAGGGAGAGGGAGAGGGAGAGGGAGAGGGAGAGGGAGAGGGAGAGGGAGAGGGAGAGGGAGAGGGAGAGGGAGAGGGAGAGGGAGAGGGAGAGGGAGAGGGAGAGGGAGAGGGAGAGGGAGAGGGAGAGGGAGAGGGAGAGGGAGAGGGAGAGGGAGAGGGAGAGGGAGAGGGAGAGGGAGAGGGAGAGGGAGAGGGAGAGGGAGAGGGAGAGGGAGAGGGAGAGGGAGAGGGAGAGGGAGAGGGAGAGGGAGAGGGAGAGGGAGAGGGAGAGGGAGAGGGAGTAGTTTATTTAGAGAGCATAATATTTAATCTCATGAGGCTAACCGGAAGAGACTGGGAGTTGTTGCATTTACATCTCTTCCTTTCCTTGTTACTTGTACCAACTGAAGAAGATTGATTATTTGCTTTCTAGTTATTAGAATTAGTTTATATAATAGTTAAGTAAAACAGATAGTTAATTAGGTATTTGAAATTTCAAGCTATACGCAACTTATAGCAACTTATTGAAAATAATACATTGCAGATTCTATTGGATCATGGTTTGGTCCACCTATTGCATGTGTACTGACCCACGATAGCCTGGACAGTGCTGCAAATATCGTCGCTGATCTTAAAACTTCTTCTGACACACTGGTGACCCGTCCGTTCTCTTTTTAATTCCTCCAGTTTCGGAAAAGCTGCTTGTATACCTGGGTTATTTACTTTGCTGTAAAAAAGCAGCTGACTAACAAACTAAGCAAAAATAAATTAGACTTGCCGAGAACTTTGGTCGGGATTGAATTCAGAAATATGGCTTTTAAGGTAATACATTTTTAAAACTATACGAATCACCGCCTTTAAGTTGCAGAATCCAAAACTCATTGAAATGGTATCGGTAAAAGAAAAATTACCCAAAATTCAATTCTGCTAATCATCTCATCGTACCAGTCCTGAACTAGACAAACTTACATTAATCCCATTTGTAGCTCTCTTTGAACTTGAAAAATAAACACACCTTTGTGCAGAAGGTGTGATGCATCTTAATAAACATACCTTTGTGTAGAAGGTGTGATGCATCTTAATAAACATACCTTTGTGTAGAAGGTGTGATGCATCTAAACATACCTTTGTGTAGAAGGTGTGATGCATACCTTTGTGTAGAAGGTGTGATAAACATACCTTTGTGTAGAAGGTGTGATGCATCTTACACATACCTTTGTGTAGAAGGTGTGATGCATCTTAATAAACATACCTTTGTGTAGAAGGTGTGATGCATCTAAACATACCTTTGTGTAGAAGGTGTGATGCATCTTCAATTCTGGAGTGTCTCTTCTTAGCCTTGTACCAGTTTTGGGCTGCCTCTGCCCAATTCAACTCAAACGTACCTATAAAGAATGCCATTACTTTAAATGATATCTTTAAATTGTCTTTTTAAATAAAGCTGTTTCCTTATTGATAATAAAATGGGTTTGTAAAAACAATTCATGTTTTCAAAAAATTTCCTCCAAAAGTTCTAATGACCAGTCGTTTTAACATTAGTTTTAAGGTTAGACAAAGTGTACCGAACAAGGAGAAATCACTTTTTTTTGTCAATCCCAATGGTGACCATTAAATGGTCGCTTTATTCCGTTTTTGGCCTAGCTAAAACGAAAATTGATGAAAAAATAGTATACCGCCTTGTACCGTGTTTGGGATTGATCCAATGGCCGAGAGCTCCTTTGTTGAGAATCTGCACAAGCCATGATGCTAGAGTGTGTGACTTCGAACTGAATTTGCATGTCCACGCTTCTCTCCACGCTTCTGAGATGGAAGTTTATAGAAATGTCCGGTATTTTTACTATGGTGTGACCCTCTTGTAATTTATCTCAGTTCTTTGTTTTCTTACACATGGTTATCTTTTGTCGTCGGTATATTGTCCATTATCTGCGTTCTGCTTTCATAGTTTAAACAATAGTGAGTTCTAAATATACAGCTTTAAACCGATTAAGTATGAATGAATGAAATACCTGACAATCCGCACTCCTATAATTCAAAAGCATGAGTAACTCGTAGTGATGTATGATTTCTAGAAACTTTAAATTAAATTTGGCGCTCACAGGTCCTCGTGATCATGTGATCGCCGCATGAGGTTCTGTAAATGCGCAGGGCACCTTCAAGCTTAAAATATTTACCTTACTTAGGCAGTCAACCAACGTGCGGCTTTATTTTTATGATATGATATGTTTTGATTGTTATTAATAAATACAAAAATGTAATTTGTTTTCCTAATTTGTTTTCCTTTCAAATACGTCTAAGACATCTACAATGTTGCAGTGATGTAGTGAAGCATTTAGTACTTGCATGTGAAATTCTGTCAAGTGACGTCAATGATGTATAGTAATAGTGCACATCACTGTATAATGTATAAAGCTACTAATTATGTTGTTATGTACATTATGTCTTTCATGATAATTACCTTCATCATCAAATGGTCTGGGGTACATATAGAAATCAACTACCCACGACGTAACAAGCTCATGTTGAGTCCTGTAGTAGATGATTGGCTTAGGTTACAAGTTCTGATAAGTAAATTATATTATAGATTATTAAAAAATCAAATAAATAAAACAATTTTGAAAAGGAATCAACTTTTTCAACAACCATTGCGTTAATGATCAGCTTTTCCACCTTCAACATCCGTGGGGGCAACATGGAGGCATGGGTTTCAAAATCAGTCTTCACATGATGAACTAAGTGGTTTGCTGGAAGTAGATTAGTGACCAGGTATGCAATGTCAATATTTGTATTTACTCACCTAGCGGTACACCCCATACGTTGCAGGCAGTGGTGTAACGAAGGGCACCACCGACCCCGCTGTGCAGGGGGGGGGGGGGGGGGGGCGCCATCTTTACTGAGGTACTAGCAAAACTGCGCGTTTTGATCTAGAAACACACTTTTTTAGAGATTTTACCGACATATCCTCTAAAATCACCTAATTTGTTCAATTTTAGGGAGGAGTGACAAAAGGGGAGGTGGCACCAACAGAGGGGCGCTTTTTCAGCAGGGGAGGGGGCGCCAACAGGAAACGTTACGCCACTGGTTGAAGGGTGATCAATGCTTACATGAGAGGCTAGTCCATAAAAATCCAGTTGTTTTGGACAACTTTTATGGGCAGCTGAGAGAGGCCAAAAATGTCCCCTCTAATGTGGAGTTGTAATTCCTGGGTGACTTTAATCCAAAACTGGGTAGATTATCTCCTTCTGATATATGGAACAGGGTTTCAGTAGGTATATGGGGAGGTATGGAATGGGAGTAAGGAACAATAATGGTTCTGATTGCTCGATTTTATCTCAGAAAAAAACCTTTTTGCTGCAAACACTTGTTTTATACATCAAAGCAGACATGTTACATTATTTCAATGAAACAAGAAATTTTCAATGAAACAAGAAATTTAATTTTAGCACATTTTACAGAATAAAAGATGTAAAACAATTCATAAAATATAATGCCCATTTGGTGTATGACTTTTTGTCCTTGACTGCTTGTTTGGTTTTGGAAGGACAGGTTACTAACGGGGCAAGGAATGCGCGTGCCTGGGAGCTTTTGCACACACCAAAACGCTAGTTCAGTTAAGTTTTTAGAGACAAGGCTCAAATTAGGACTATAAGAAAAATTGTTAGCAGACATTAGGGGTTCTGTTTAAAGTTTTTACTATCTAGGTTTCAGTCTTGTTGTGACAAAAAGTCTACACTAAAACATGTTTGATTTTATATTGTGTAGTTCAAGGATTAAAAATGCACCTTCAAGGTGGATATTGGAGAGCAGGCGAAAGATTATGGCTTAAATTTATCAATGGTTATAATAAGCTATAAATATTTTAAACTATACAATGCTAATTAAAAATTTCTTTATACTTCATTCTCAAATTAAAATTTAAAAATTCAAAAATATACATTCATTTTATTAAAACTTTCTCACACATACTTTACTCACAGGACAAGACTTGGAAAACAGTAGCCTAGGGTAATTTAATTTAGATGTGTGTGACCAGCCAGTTATAATGTTTGGAAAATAATATTTACTGATTGGCGGAAGGATTGGTCTGCTGGTCGGCAGAGTATACTCACAAATATAAAATAGACTACATACTGTGCCAAAATAGATCTAAGTGTCTTTTGTCTCAATTAAGGTCATCCATCAACCACCTCACTAATTGTATCCAAAGAAGATTAGTTGAAGAAAGGTCTGCTCAAGCAGTTTTATGTATTACGCATGCTTTTAACTCGCTAGTATAGTTTGATAAGCCGCCGATAGATTGTAGGCTGGTGCTGATAAGACTGCCCTACACTCAACTTTACAACACATGAACATCCAACCAACTCCTAATATGGACTTCATCTCTTCGGACTCCGGGCTGCCAGGTAGTGGTGCCCATACCACTACCTCTACAGAACACTGCCTGGCACCCCCTACCACACCCGGTATGTGCGTTATAAGTACTCAAACAGACATAACATTTGGACAGTGGCTTCCTACCCTGTCACCTAAACTATGCCTCGATCTGTTCGAGCACGTTAAGGATGAGCACATGGCGCACGAAATCTCCTACAACAATTCACTGGGAATTGATTTAGGGATTAAATCCAACACTAAGATTTCAAAACGTAAAGTTCTATTGAAACAAAAACTGGAGAACGATTGTAAAAATGCTAACTTTATCAATTCGTTTACGGTAGATGTCGCCAAAATAGATTCATTAATGAACCATTTTTCCGGTTTGCTGGAGAAGGCAGAAACAACACTAGAGGACTACAAGACAGAAGTTCGGAGAACAACCGCAGACTGCATCGGAAACAGCGCACTCCCTTCTGCTCCAGCCCCACAACAGTTAGTGATTAGCCCACCCTCCGCAGCTCTACCTACTCCGGTATGTAATTTAAGTGTGAACTTTAATGACATTAATTGGATGGATATCTGCAAGAGCATGAACTTCCGCAGAATCGCATCCCGATCAGTAAGGTACTTTGGAGCAACAGATTACCGCTATGGGTCGACCGTGCATCATTCCAGAAACTATCCTCAGAACTCCGTTATTGACCACATTTTTACAAACATTTCGAACGCATTAGATGACCCTACGTTTAATAAGGAGCAGGTAACTTGTCTAATCACCAAATATGAAAACGGCAAGTGCCATATACCCTTCCACAGTGATGATGAAAATGAGGTCACTGGTGACATCATTACACTCAGTCTTGGGGCCTCTAGAGACCTAGTATTTCGTAGCAAAGTCGGTCCGGTCAAACAACAGATCCACAAACTTGACCATGGATGTGTGTATGTGATGACACGTGAATCACAGAATTTCTGGGAGCATGGTATATTGCCACAACCAGAAACTCAGGACTGCAGAATATCGCTTACGTTCAGACGCCTCTCTCAGAATACCCCCCCTCGCAAAAAAATCCCGAGGATCCACGAACCGATTCATAAGCCTACGGTTACTGAGCAGTCTCAACCTAAGGAGCGTCTATTATTCTTGACGGACTCGCTTCTCAGAGATGTCCCTTTTGACCTTCCTAACGTACACTGCATCAAACGCGAAATGTACCAGTTATCCAAAATTTTAGATCACGAACAATATATTTCTGGCTCTAAAATTGTCATAATTTCTTCTGGTATAAACGATTTATCTCGCTATGACCACCACCACCACTCCCTTTCATGTGATTTTAAAAGAAATATTGATTATCTAATTGAGAAATATCCTAACACGACTTTTATATTTAATTCTTTAGTTCTCACACGTTTCTCGTGGCTTAATGAGAAGGTTAAGCATTTCAACAGCTTTATTTTTGAACTAAGTAATAGAGTGTCCAAGCTATGGTTCTTTGACTCGCACCATATTTGTACTGTTTTATACCAGAGAAGAGAGGTCATTGTAGATCCTGATGGAAACGGAATCCACCTAACAGTCATGTCCAAGAGAGAGATAGCTCGCTCTCTTGCTACCTGTGTCAAAGAATTTATGGTGCGCAGCTACTTAATTCGAAAACACTGGCCGCTAAGACGGGAGTATGTTTCTTCATTGGGCAGACCTTAGAACAGCAATACAATCGGCAAACATACTATATCGAAAATTTGGACAAAATTATTAATCTACTAAGAATCGTACAGTATACGAACCATGTCTTATCTGCACCAGCTTACGGCTAATCGAAATCTTATCTTTACTAAGTTGAACCACGTAATCAGACCACTAAGTACATACACTTACAAGTTACAAATACAGAATACAAGTCACATTCACATTTCACATACTTCAATTAACTTTTTAAACTTATTCCCACAGAACAACACTTCACTGAATTGATTTCTCTAGTTAGAAGCTGAAGTTAGGGACCCGGACAGAGTGTTCACAAAACCTCGCACGTTTTCTCACTCTTCCCTGGCCCCATTTTCTTGGCTCACTCATCTGGAGTAGATACTTTCAGTGACTGTTTTCCGTGTACTTTATTATATTATATACAGTAGCAAACCTATATCTACATTTAAACAAGAGTATCATTTACAGCTAAAAAATGGTAGTTATCCGAAGTAGTAAAAATAGCTGTAAGGCCTGTGCAAAGCGCCTAGTCTCACACAAGGTAAGCATCACTTGTAGTATTTGTTATACGACATATCACCCAAAATGTGCTCACCTAACACCTAGCGACATAACTGAACTTACTGGAGAATGGTCTTGCTACAGCTGCATTTCAGAAATTCTTCCAGTGGGTGCCGTCATGCCTCTATCACCATCACGGCCTATACAAATCCAAGTCTCCAATAAACGAGAAAAATGTCACACTTGCACAAAAATTGGGAATATAAGACAAATGACCAAATGTTGCTACTGTGACAACCTATCCCACACAAGATGTTCTGCTGGCTCAACAGGCTGCAAAGAATGCTTGAGAAAAATTTTCCCAGCATACGATGTCTCCATTAGACAGCTTCACATGATAAATTTCAGTAACACTATTAGGTTTAACCCCTTTAATCGCGACCACCTATCAAATCAAATAGGTGATCATGATGATACTGATGCTGATTTGAATCCATGGGAAACAACGTCTAGTCTTCTAAATAACTGCAAATATTATACCGCGAACGCGATCAAAAATACGAAGGAGTATGAATTAAAAGTTTTCTCGCTAAACGTTAGGTCACTTAATGGGAAAATTGAAGAATTTCGGGAGAATATAGATCAATACACAAAATACGACGTTCTCTGCTTCAATGAAACAAATTGTAACACGGAATGTTTGCCTTTTCAGGGAGAGGAGCTCGAACTAGACGGTTTCTATCCACCGTATGTTCAGACTCCCGCTAGAGCGTCAAATCGTGGTGGAGGATTAGTCATATATGTTAACAAAAAACTATGTGAATTATCTGACATAAACGTTAAGAGCGCTCTATGTTGCCACGATAATCCTAAGATAGGAGAATTCTTGGTTGCAGAACTTACCTTGAAAGGGCACAAAAACGCGTTAATCTGTAA